ACCTTGAACTCCCATCAAGAAATCACAAGTGTCAAGAGGATGCCATTATTAAAGAAGATCTTGGAGCTATCATGAAAAAAATGACATGATTCTCATTGTGATTTTTGAGGAATACTCAATTTCCCAGGCATGGACTTTCCAAATGAAGGAAAAAGAAAAAAAAGAAAAAAAGAAAAAAAGAAAAAGAGGTAATTGAATAGATGAACCATGCTGATCTACATGCTTCAATGAGAAAAATTAGTACTCCAATGAAAAGGTTGAAGTAATATTTTCACTGATAAGATTGTTGAACTGAAGGCAGCTCATACAACTTATAAAAAAAATCAGATGAGAATTTAAACTCTACAAACTATTCTTGATAAAGAAAGGGCTGAAAATGCTGAAATTAATCGTTGGTTGACACAATTATCGCCACCTGTTCGATTCTTTTCTTCACTTTTCAAGGTTAATGCCTCTGGCTTTATTCTACTCTATCCAACGTTTTTTTTATTGGTGCTCAATAATTTTGCTTCATTCAGTATGACTTCGATCTTATATAGAACATTATCTGGCAGTTTAATGGAATGATTATTTATTGCTTTAATGACTCATATTCTTGCTCTCTATAATACATTATTATGTTGCATGAAGTCGTTATATGATTGTCTTGGTGATAGTCAGTGCCATGAATAATTTAACTAATCAATCTAGCTCGTATATTATAGGATTGACATAGCTTTTCAATTATGCCAAAAGGGGGAAGATAAGAGTTGTACATTTTTTTATAACTCATTGACTAACTTGTTTCATATTATTATTTCATGCTTCAGTGTCTACAGATGAAATTGTTTGAATGCACAACGAAAAGAGGTTTGTCATCATCAAAAAGGGGGAATTTGTTGGGATTTATGCAGTTTTGATGATTGACAAAGAAAGATGAAACATGTCAGTCAACATGATACAAAGGTACACTGTCACGAGCAATTGATTTTGGAAAAGCTTTTAAGATGAATAAAGACAAGAGTGCAGAAATAAAGGAATGGATAATGCTAATTTCGTGAGAAAGCCCAAGGAAGTAAACATCTGGTGAATTGAAGAGAAATAATCAATGAGTTCGATTTGAAGAAGGAGTCTAAAGAGGCAAGGAATTTTAATTGAAGAAGGAATCTCACTTAAAGTAGAACTCTTCAAGTTACTGCTGAATTGAAGTGTTGGAGTTCGACTACAATACAAAAGAATCAATGAACGTAATTTGAAGAAGAAGTCTAAAGAAGCAAGGAATTTGAATTGAAGAAGGAGTCTTACTTGAAATAGAACTCTAAGTCAAGAAAGTTCAAGTCAGTGAGGAGTTTGAAGTTGTAACATCCGGCAAATCGAAATAACTAAGAAGAGGCTTAGAATTTGGAAATTTTCATTTTGGAAAGGATTTGAGAGAAAAAAAAATCTGGAAAAAAATTGGCTAAGTATGGAAAATGTGAATTTTTGGCCAACTTTGAACAGCCATAAATTCT